AGATAATAAGGACGCAGCTCGGGATCTTTGTGAAGACAACTGATGTACAGAAATCGTGGGTGAGTCCACTGGCTTCATCACGCAGAAAACTGATGACAGTAAAAATGATGCCGAGGCAAATGAGCTAAAGCCAAATAAACTGGCAGTGTATTAGATGAAATTGTAATCTCATTCTTAATTCATTTCTGGTGTCTTGCTTACGGTTCTCCTATCTCCAGACCATGCCTGTGTAACTCAAAAAGCTCTTTCATTCTGACAGGGATATGGTCGTATCTGCATACTTTGTATTCCTCAAGGCATTAGGTCCTGTAATGTTTCCTGAGATGCAAAGATTAGCAACTCTCCTATGAACTACTGAATATATATATATATTGTTATGTCACACAAAGTTTCTCAAAAGCTTTTAAACAAACAAAATGTTCTCAGAGAATTACTTTTCTTTTAAGAGGTGTAACACTTTTAAAAGCAACAATTTTTCCAAAAGCATGGATTAAAATTCCTGTTGTTCACATTTTCTCATTAAATGCATTTTTAGATCTAGTGAAAAAAAAAAAAAAAAAGAGCAACAAATTAATTCCCCAAGTATGGTAAGTTTCTGATCCAGTGGAAAAAAATTGCAGCTATTTCTTCAATGGTAGAAAAAGGAAAGAAATTGTGTTGCTTAAGCCCAAGGTTATATGTAATTTTACTTATATTTTCAAAATTTAAAATAAATCCCTTGGTAAATGCATATTATTTTACTCACACATTTGGGAAAAAATCCATTGCAACTCCCAACAAGTTAATCATGTGAATCAATGCATGTCAGTCTTTGAACTATGGTACTTTGTTTTTTCTATTATATGCTCTTGAATTTTCTTCGGCAAGAGATATCACTATATATTTAAAGTCAGAAAATATACCATAACTGAAGTCTGTGATTTTTCAGAAACATTTATCTTAAGGAAAACTGAATTCTTTTAACTGATGTTCCTGTTAATTATATTTGGTTACCAAGACCCAAATAAGACAATGCAACATTTATGTTAATAATTTTTGTATCAGCACTAACAATGTCATTTTTCTAAAGTAATTTGTAAATTGTTCTCTAAAAAGGCGACTATTAGTCTTACTTTGCAGCACTCCTCCTGTGGCTGTGAGAAGCACCTCCTCTACATAGTTGCCAAGTTTATTCCCGTTGGATAAACTCTCCAAACAATACCTCAACTTCAAGTGGAGCTTTCTTGGCTAGAAACAGTAACTCTAAAATTTAGAAATACAAACCAAAGGAATAGATTAAACAACTAAATACATTGCTAGAATCAATGGATTGTTTGTGATGTATTATTGTGCAAAACTAGATGAAATCAGTCCCTGTGTATGAGAAAAACAGAGTCTGTTCCATGGCCGTTCCCAGCTGCACTGCGCAGAGTTGTGGTCAAGGTTTCTGAAGTATTCTGAGAAAAGCACTTGCAACATCTTTAAAAATTCTAATTAAGCTATTCCAGATACCACTGCATACTTTTTGCTACTTTTTAAATACTGTTACCTGTTCCTAGCAGATGGAGAACACTTGAGATCCTATTAATATTGATACAACCTACTACCAAGTGGAGCATTCTCGGATATACAAGTCAAAGTACCAATTAACTGAGAAGTCAGCTAAGTCAACAGAACAAATACCTACAAATAGTTCTTTTCAAAAGGAAGTTTTCAGCAGATAAACTAATTTGGGCATGGATCTGAAAAAACATGTAGAATGTTACATAAAAAGAGGTGCTACCTAGTTGAATTGACAGGCAAAATCAAACTTCAGAGGAATGAATTCAGGCAGTATGAAAACCTGATATTGCAAATAAATTTTCTGGTTTATAATAAACAATTTAAGTGATTGGTTAAGTGTTTGTCATCTTTATTGCTCAATACTGGAATCAGTAATTGAAAGTTTATGTTAGCTGACAATAAACAAAATTCTATGAAATTGAACAACTCGAGACTTTTGAGTCAAAATCAGTTGCTCTATGGAAGAATACGACAAGCAATATTTTGACCTGAATACTCTTCCAGTCTCCTACAATTGGTGACTTGGGGACTTCTGAAGGCATAGGACATTTCTCTACGCTGCTCTCAAGTCTCTCTCATGACCTTGTCTAGTACAGCCCTGTGACAAACACATCACATCCACGACAGCCTATGGCATGCAGTTCCAGCACCTAACTACATTATGGATGGAACCATGTCCTCAGCTCGCTGTGACCCTGCCACCTGCCAGCTTCATTCGCCTTCCTCTTATGCTGGAATAAGCAGTGAACAGCCCCGATTGATCCTCTCATGATTTTATAGATTTCCATTTATCTCACCTGCTTCATTTTTTTCCTAGTTTGGCGCTCTCTCACTCTACAGAAATTTGTACAAAGCTGTGCCAGACTTTCATCATTTCTCTTATCCCTCTCTGAACCATTACAGGTTCCTGTATACCCTCTGCAATGAGTGACCCCGGGGTGGCATACAGCAGTCACAATGCACTGTTAATGAATGGCGGGTACTAGGCTTGTGTTGCCTCACCCTGAAAGGGGAAAGACAAGGACAAAGATGCTAATGGTCCTCTGGGCTGACTTTGGAATCAGCTCTGCAAATACAATCTTTAGTCATCGATGTAAAAGCAAGATAAATTACATGAGATTTGCAGGTGACACCAATCAGAGGATGATTATGGACTGGCAATGTGACATGGCTGGAAAAGGCTGGTCATTTGTCAGTACATCATAGTGAAATGTCTTCAGTTGATAATTAACACCATTGCACAGTGGACTGAAAAGATTCATGCGAAATACTGTGTAAATTCCAATCACTTCCATGTTCAAGAATGATTAATTTAACCTTGTCAGGTACAGAGTGGTCTTACGCAAGCAGAATGGGTCTCATGAAAGATTTTAAAAGTGTGGCCTGGATTTGAAAAAAGACAATCTACAAAACTATGGATGTTTGTTAAAGTCTTACACAAGCAGAATGGGTCTCATGAGTGTGGCCTGGATTTGAAAAAAGACAGAATCTACAAAACTATGGATGTTTGTTAATAAGGGGGAATTAAGCTGGTGAAAAATACTGTTACAATATAAATGCATATAAATTGAATATGAATAAGTGTATATGATATACTGGGAGAATGTTTCTAACTATCAGAGGATAAAGTCTTTAGATGTATTTACCATTTTGCTATAGTGGGGAAAGGAACAGAAATTGTTTCAAGATGGAATGTCTTAAGTTTATGGAAGAGAAGGCTAAAAAGGACACAAAGGATATGGCTGAGTGGCTCCCATGAGGAAACAAATATTTATGAGAAATAACTGGGGTGTCAAGAGCACAGAAAAGACCCTGGTGGCAAGAAGAGGAAGGAGAAAGATACCAAACTTCGAGTGAGAGAAGGTGAGAGGTTCAGGTACTAGGCTCTCAGGCCTGTTTTTTCAGAACATAACAGATATGAACGGGGGAAAAAAAAAAATAAAAATGTTATGTCTCCTTCTGAGGAAGCTGCAGGCACGTTAAAGAACGATTTGGGTCATCAAGGCCCCCGCTACGCGTAAAGGTGCGAGAAGGAAGCATCTAGGGCATCACATCCCCGCCCGGGCAGCGTGTGGGTGTGGGAAGAGGCGAGCAGCCCCGACTGCAGGGCGATCAGTGAGAGGGAGCCGCTGGGCTGCGCCTGCAATCGGTGCGTTGCCCCTTTAATTGTGTCCCCAGCCCTCGGGCGTCTCTGTCCAACGCCCACGTCAGCAAATACCTTTTGTTTCTCTCACGTTCGGGCTTCCAGGGCTCGGGGCTGCGGGACCCGCGCGTCGCCTTCGGCCACCGCCCGCCCCCACGCGGGGGCGGGGGGCCCCCCCACCCC